CTTTTTAATGTATGTCAGATATAAAATAATTTCTTTTAAGATTCGGCTGCTCATGTTTTTGTATTGAAACTTTTTGTTTGTATTGTTAGTTTTTTATAGTGTTTTGGATCCTTGTCATTTATTGATGTATTCACGTTTTTAACTTTAATTTTTTTTAAATATAATAATTACAAACATATTTCCGCTCAATCGAAGGGGGCGAGTTTTTCGATCTGTACATTGGAGCGAGTAGGTTTTCCTATATTCATTTCCTAGTACAGATGCTAACGGATAAGAATTTCCTTTGATAATTGCTAAGCTAATTTACTGTAAAAGGCAGTTGATTGTTTACTTTGGACGTTTAACATCGTTGATCCCTCAATCTTTTGAAATATTACAACCAGTCCAATACTCATATTTCCGCTCAATCGAAGGGGGCGAGTTTTTCGATCTGTACATTGGAGCGAGTAGGTTTTCCTATGTTTATTTCCAAGTACAGATGCGAACGGATAAGAATTTCCTTTGATAATTGCTAAGCTAATTTACTGTAAGAGGCAGCTGATTGTTTACTTTGGACGTTTAACATCGTTGATCCCTCAATCTTTTGAAATATTACAACCATGTCCAATACTCATATTTCCGCTCAATCGAAGGGGGTGAGTTTTTCGATCTGTACATTGGAGCGAGTAGGTTTTCCTATATTCATTTCCTAGTACAGATGCGAACGGATAAGAATTTCCTTTGATAATTGCTAAGCTAATTTACTGTAAAAGGCAGTTGAATGTTTACTTTGGACATTTAACATCGTTGATCCTTCAACCTTTTGAAATATTACAATATGTCCAATACTCATATTTCCGCTCAATCGAAGGGGGCGAGTTTTTCTGTCTGTACATTGGAGCGAGTAGGTTTTCCTATGTTTATTTCCTAGTACAGATGCGAACGGAGAAGAATTTCCTTTGATAATGAATAAACTTATTTGCTGTAAGAGGCAGCTGATTGTTTACTTTGGACATTTGTCATCGTTGTTCTTTCAACCTTTTGAACTATTACGTCAGTCCACCATGTACAAAATTTACAAGTAATCATTATTTTTCTGATTCCAATTTAATGTGTATACTTCATCTTTTGAATATTTCATTTTTCTGAGTGTACTCAAAATTTAAATTGCATTCCCGATCTAAATCATGTGACAAATACTGTGTATAATATTTTATAATGTTTTTATGCGTATATTTTCTGAATTTCCTTTACATACTTACATACTTCTATTTTTGAAGTCTATTACTTTTGAAGTTTTTGATAGTATCCTCTTTTGAATTCATTATAACTTTCTTCGAGAGCACAGACTTACATTGATTTTTGGTTCAAACTTTTGATGTTTGTTTACATATTTTTGAGTGGTTTTGAACTTTGACAGTATTTTGTAGTCTGGATAGTTACATAGATTCGTTGCGATGTATGCCTTGAGGGTCTTGTACTATCCACAGTTTCTTTAATTGAAAGTGTTTTCTTCATATGCATTTTATTTTCTTCTTGAGACTTGTCATATATGCTTTCCGCCTAGTTGCAAATCTGTGCGTATTGATAAACTCTTGAAACCTCTGGCGTATAAGTAAAACTCACTTTTGATATAGTTATTTATGTCTCAGTTCAATTCAATCAGTTCAATTTGATTTGAAGTAATTGTCAATTCCTTCTTGAGATTTTTCATATATGCTTTCAGCCTTTGTGCACATTTGTGCGTATTGCTAAGTCTTGAGCTTGGTTGCGACATTGCTTTCATGTTTCGCTATAGATTTTGAAATATCTGGTGATTTTGCTTTTGCATTATTGCATTTGTTTTGATAGTCTGCTCTCATAATCTTTTTTCCGGCTTCTTATTTCTTTCAATTTCTCGTCTTGACTTGAAGTAATCGCCAATTCTTATAGATTCAGTATAGTAATTCTCTTTTCATACTTTACACTGGTAAATTATTATAGTTTTTCTAATCTTGTAATATTTCATATTGAACTTAACTTTCATTTTACAATGTTATGGTTATTCTTAGTGTAGACTTTGAAGTGCGCTGATGATATCAGTGATCTACATGAGAATATTCCATAGACTATAGACATTCTTGTCTAGGGCTTTGGAATGCACCTATGGTGACCCTAGAAAGTTGTCTTTCTCAATATTTTTGCTTTAAATCAAAATTCGAATTCTTACCTATCATATTTATTTCTATTTCTTGTTCACTAGATTTTTTTTATAACTCCAATTTTGCACCTACATATATCGTAGTCTTTTGCATACAATTTTTGCTTGCGGCATTACTCTCATGTATCATGATTTAATAAAATATCTTGTGATTTTCGTTTCGCTATTTTGCATTTTACATATGCTCACTTCGTTTCTCATTTATTACTCATGAAACTTTTAATATTTTACTTACTTTTAATTTTTTTGAGAATCCTTTATAAAATCATGCTCATATAGCTTTAATATTTCCTTTCACTTTATGATTTTAATACTATTAGATTTACAGTTGCACTTGTGTTGCACTTAGTTTTTTTGGAAATTTATTTTGCTCTTTTCTATATTGTACTTCAGATTTTTTTTTGGTCTGGTTCTTATGTTGTCACATGACCCGAAAATTTTGATTGAACTTACTCTTGAATTTTAGTTCATTGATTGAACTTAAGCTATATTTTGACTTTGAAAATCTTACTTCAATATTTCATGAATGTCTCTTATATACTTTAATTCTCTGAAACTATTTTGAATTATTTTGTAGTCTTACAGACTGCTGGCGCCCGACAATTTCTTTGTGGAATCAGAACTGCACTTAGTTAACATCTTTTTTGATTAAAATACCTTAGTGATCAAGTTTTCATTGGTTTAGTACTTGTAAATTGTTTTGTTATATGACTTGAATTCCTAATGGAATTTGTTAATTTCTTTTGATTTTCATATTTTGAAAGTAGCAATGCACATTTTTTTTTATATTAGGATATTGGTTTAAAATATCACTGTAGATGCATATCTTTTTGGGTTTGGAGTATTGCGAGATAATCTGGCAATTGTTTTGAGAAAGATTATTATTTTTTTTAGTACCTCTTATGGTTTAGGTACTTACTTAGTTTTGAAGTTTTTAGTAGTCAGTCGTGCATTTTGGATGCCATTGTGATTCGTGCTTGGACTACTGCTGAAACTTTTGGTTTATTATTTTTCTCGTCTTAGGTATGACGATGTTTTATGTTTTGGGTTTTCATCATATGATGATAGTTTTTTTTAAGTGCAACTTCACTGTACTTTTCAGCGAGTTGGTGCTATAACCATCCCTCTTGTTTGGTAGACTTGAGGCTATCCCTTTTTCTTCCAATTCTCTTCTAACATTTTTGTTTCTACCTTACTTTTACTACTTGTTATCTGGTCGAATGGTTGTACATTTGTCCTTCCGTGATAACTTTCAATTTCCTAGTAAAAAAAAAAATTCTTAAATGCTTCTTCGATTTTTTTTTTTTTTGGTTAAGTTGGGGCGAGTGTAACGGTTTCACCGTCCGATCGTATTTATTAATCACTTCTCGATTATCATTTCATTAATCCCATCTCTAGCTTTTTTGCTTGGAAAGTTTTCCGCTTGGAGCGCTTGATGCGGAGTTCCTGATCTGCGATCTTCCTCGCGCTTCTTTTTCACCTGAGCCGCCGATCGAACAACGGCTAGAAAATTTCTTCTCAGGTAGCACAAGGTTATATAGCACCATGTGCTAGATTTCTAGAATGTGTGTCCGTATAGGACAAAAATGATTGGGGCCACCCCCTTTCTCTTTCCCTTTCACTTTGCCTAGCCTTGGCCAATATTTTCACCCATGCATGTACCTTGGCAGCGCCATCGCCTTTAACTTCGCCTACAACTGGTTGTGAAGCCACTATATGGAGGTCACCCCTCATAACTGGGACCTCCCCTTCAAACCCCTGGCCATCCTGGCTTCAGTCGAGTAAAAATGGACCAGCGAAAGATAAGTCGATAGCGTTATAGCAGCACCAAAGATGTAAAACTTATTTTGTTATTTTTGTAAAATTGTAATGTAATGAAAATGCCTTTTTTTTGTTAAATAAAATCTGTTAAATTTTTGTGTTCTGTTTGTTCTTCTATCTCTAGCCATGCCATGGTCGACACACAGCTACACGCCTGTAGATGTCTTCATGCCACCGACTGAGCTACCGGAAGCTAATTGTAACCCCCTTTCTGTGATTGTGCAGAAAAGTTGGAATCTTCATTGCATTCCATCTTTTCTGGACTTTTTGCGGAAAGGAAGCGTTACAAATCAAATTATACTTTGACTTTAATACTTACAAACTAATAGTCCTTTAAAAATTAACAATTATTTTAAATAATCAGCTTTCTAAAGTTTTGAGTTACCAAATTATAATTTGAACACAACATTCAGACTTTCATTAATTTTTATGAGATCACAAATATTTCGAACTTAAACTATCTAGTACCTGTTATTTATTTGTTTCACTATTTGTTTTACTTCTCGTAAACATTAATGGGTTTTTTAAATTTGTGAAGGACTGTATTTCTCTTGACGATTATATTAGGAACTGGCAGTTTTTCTATAACGTCTTCGTAAGGTACGTCGGCGATATCATTATCATTTATTTTAAATTCTGTGCCATCTTTATTGCAAACTTTAAGAAATGTAACTGTCAGTTCTCCATCTTCGTCATCATATTTTGAGCAAACTGCGGCGTATCGGTATTCTTTTCCCCTCATTATTAACTTAGCTAGAACATAATCGCCACCACCGTAGCTCGTTTTTGACTTTTCTTGTGCAATGTGGCTCATACTTGCTAACGGCATATCATCTTCAGAATCTGTGAAAATATCTGAAACTTGAAGCCGCTGTGTATTGGATTGGTTCGTAATAGTCCCCAACCTATAATGGTCACAACCGTCATTATCACAGAAGCAACTTAGTGACTTCAAGACAAGTTTATTAGGGTTATAAATATGACCCGAGACTTGATGCACCAAGAGAGTTCCTTTAAACGGTTTCTGCTCTTTCTCATGTTCCTTGATCATTTTGATAACTTTTTCTATGTCGGCATCTTCGATAACAGAGATATTTATATTTGGACACCTTTCTCGAAGCACAGCTACAAAGTCGTACAAGTTCGTAATGTCACCTCTCTGAGCTATGAGTTGGTCTGCAGAGCGTTTGCATGTAGCTCCAATTCCATCAGGTGCCCCTTTCCCATGTCCCGCCTCATGGAAATTCCACGTATATTTTATAGCCAGTGGATAGAAATCTTGGATTCTGCAACCCAAAATATAAAACATTGTTTTATTTCTATATTGGGTTACAGGACCGTCACTCAAAAAATGCAGGTTTTCTACAGAGGATGGCAATCCTAAGAGGATAGGCTGTAAATGTGCCCAAATGGCTCCAGCGTTGTGAGATAAATTTAAAGACACAGTGCAATGAGATGTTACTTTATCCTTTGTATAAACCACCACTGTATGCAAAGAAATTTGAGTCCTGGAGCCCCCAAAATGATACGACTGAATTTCTTGGTTGCATTTAGTTGTGTAGTTTTCTGAGAAGTCCATGTGAATTACTGCATCCTTTTCTGTCAGTGACTATTTCAAAGATTTAATAGTTTTATATTGACGAACGATGTTCTGTTCATGTTGGAATAATTTTGGAAGATCACTCTCTTCTAATTGCATAACTAAATCACGAGGTTTTGAATTGCATATCTCTTTCTTATACTTTGTGGCGTATCTATCCTGTTTAGTTTTAATGTCCTTAATCAATTCCTTGCTATGCTTCCATTGTTTGACTGCCATGTCCTTACTATTATCAAACTCCTTATATGGTAAAATCTTCAATGAGCAGTCCTGGCAAGTTCTCGCTAAGCATTTTTCCGAGTAACGATCACAGCAAATTGTTTCCAGTGCAGTTTGATATGTGGCAAAGTCAAGAACGTTTGCATTTTTTAAGGCACCTAACTTCAAATTGATGTTTTCATGAATAACACAAGCACAGGTATCACGGTCTGTAAGCTTAGGCACAACAACCCAAAATGGACGCAATTTGCAAAAATAATTATACCCAATTTCCATCAAACTCGTATTGTGAAATTTTTGATGCAAGTTCTTCAAGGAATCCAGCAAATATCTTTTTGTTTTTTAATTTTTTTGCGAGTGATGCACTCTTTTTTTCCTGCCGCACAACGACTATTATTGTCATCTTCGTAAAACTTGTGTATGATTTCTTCAACTCTCTTTTTTTCCGCATAGCTTCATATTTTGTACGATTAAATCCCATCTTTTTATATGTAATGGCTGTGTTTCCAAGTCTCCATATTTTATATTTATGTGTCAGTGGACTTGACAAAATCGTTTTTAAGCAGGTTTTTGTTTTGGGTGTCTGAATCTCTTTATCTAAAATTTGCCTTTGAATAATATCGCCAAATAACGCTTTTTTTATCAATTCTGCTTTTTGATTAGGGTCGTTGGCGATTTCTACCATTTTACTTTCTGGTGTCAGTGCTTGCTTCTTTTGTATCATTCTATGTTTCAGTCTTCTGTTTCTTTGTTGTTCGCTGGCAAGTTTCTTCTTTAAATTTTCAATGAGTAAGTCCTTCCTCTTCAACATACTATTTCTTTTTCTCCGTTGAACTATACTCCTCCTTCTAGCTTCAGCTTCTCTTTCATTATTTAATAAAGGAGCCTCAGGAATAATTTCATCTTCCGATGATGGCGGCGTATTTTGGTCCACGTATTTATCTGTATTGTCACGAATCTTTTGTTTTTTTCTATAATCAGATGAATAGGCTACCCAATTTTTTCTTGCCTTTCTGTGCTCACGGGGAGTCATGTCTTTTACACACTTCCGTTGTTCTTTTTCCTTTTTCTTTAGATATTTTAGTCGTTCCTTTTCTTTGTACTCCGCCAGCAAAACACTTTTTTTTGCAATTTCCTCTTTAGACAATGTTTTTTTCTTTATAGGCGCCATATTCTACAACAAATACATTGGTATTATGATTAAAACTATGCATCACACAGTATGATCATCAGTCCCTAGATGTGGCATCAGGCCCTAGTCACTATTACGACTAGGGCCTGACGGTCTAGGGACTGACGAAACGAAGCAAAATCAAATGAAAGCTATTATTTTAAATCACTATAAAATCAATAGGCGGTCAAAATAACAAAGCAGACCTAGCTCATACATTCAATAAGTAATGAGATCAATGAGTAATTATATATGTTTAAAACGACTTACCTAGGGCCTGAGAGTTTGACTGGCACAGCACGTGTTTCCGCAGCAAAGTCGGTTACCACACTAATAGCAAAATTGCTGCCGCGGCTTGGCTCGTGTTTGCAACCAACTACACACCGATGCTACCGTATTGAGTGAGTTATGAATAAGTCATATGTTTGGATGCCGCGTATTTTTGAATTTCGTAAATGACTAGGGCCTGATATTTTTTATCGCTTACACTTTTTGACTTGAACTAATGTGATCAAACAAAATTATTTTATACATTAAATCGTAATGACAATGTAAGCAATGTAATAGTAAACAAATTTAAATAGAGTTTCATCAAATTATTATTTAATACAATAAGATTACAGTGACGTGAATACTAAATTTGGGAGATCTTACATAGCTAGGGCCTGATATTTGGAGTAAAAAATGTCAATTTATTGAAATAAAGAAAATATCGCTTAGTAGTTTCAGATATAGGATATATATTTTTTAATATTGTGAAAATTCATGCTAACACCAAGTTAACCAAATTTCAGATAACCACCCGATAAATTGTGATTTAACTGAAATAACTTATTACATCTATGTATTAGTTTCTACCAGAACAGCTCACTGTCCTAAAAGTATATGACAAGGTTTGATAGAAAAATACTTTTTTTCGTCAATACCCAAAAAATATTTTTTGTACAAAATGCGTTTTGAAAAGTCTTTGGGTCTGGAGAAAATGAGACATTTTGAACGATAAATTGATGATGACAAAAGGTAGTCATTTGAATTGCGAGGTCGTCATAAAGCAAAATGATAGGTTTCCTAGATCTACCGTATTTTGCGAACATCTCAGAAAAGCAAATGAACGATTTCCATCTCGTAGGATAATGACACCAGTAATTGAACACGTAAACGGATTTTCATGTTCATAATTTCGTTAGGAGAAACAAGATAGCCATTCACTCAATAGTTCCACTGTTACTTTGGACCCTAAAGAACTCTAAATATTTTAGAAAATGTCTGTTTGCGTCTTTTAGTGTTCTACTAAAACTGTTTGTCTGTCTCCAGTAATTGAACAGTTGGGACCGAATATTTGATCGCCGTGACACCAATAATTGAACACCTTAGTATTTTTTCGATATATTTGATATTCTCACACGTTGGAATAGGAATTAGAAATAACTTTTGTTCACAAATAAATTCATCATCCATCACAAATAAAGTCCCCTTAGCCCAAACACGCGGTACATGACTTATGCCAGCAATTGTTACACATTCCATACATGATCCAGTCCTCGGATGGGGGATTTTTGTATACTTCCATGTGGTTTGGACAACGAAATCGTCTTCAGGAATCTCTTGTTATGTTACTGATGCTCGTATTTGGCTTTCCGTTTTTGATTTTTCTTACTAAAGTTTGACTTTCCTGATATCTTCCCTTCTTGTTCTATCTAATTGTGCTTGTTCATTTTATTCTTTTTTTTTTAGAACTCCTACCATTCAGCTATAGTTATACAGTAGTACAACTTTAATCTACCTTTTCTTTATTTTGCTGTTTTTTCAAAAGCCAGGAAGTGCAAGTTATTTCTTCCAGCATCTTTTAAGGTAGACTTTAAGGGAACCCCAATTTTACTTCAGTTGTAATTCGACTATATTCCGTGAAAGTGATAAATTCTTTCATATATTATGTTTATTGTGTTGCTTTTTTATTGTTTTTTTTTTATTGTTTTTTCACCGGAGACTTCGCACCTGCACAATTGTGTTTCTTGGACTTCCTCTTTGTAAATGAGGTAGGTGGTCCCATTTTCCTGTTCATGAGAACTTATTCATTTTATTTTAGGAATCTCAGAGTGCTTGGAAGCTGTATTCAGAGAAGCTTTGCAGCTTTGCACAAATCTGCTTTGGGGTACTTGAATTTGATGTTTTGATTTGTTTCATTTTCCCTTTTTTGACGTTTTCTTTATTACTATCATCTACTCTGTAACCTCTCTTCAACAACTGGAACATGAACATTTTTCTCGTTGTCGATCATGCGATTTAAGTCTGTAAAGGTTCTAGATTTAAGCTTGACTATGTTGTAACATAAAGACACATCTGTGCATTTCATAAGAAAATGTTTGTGCAATTTATATATTGAGATGTATGTCAAAATGTCTGCAAGTAGACAGAACCACCACAACCCATATAGTTTACAGCCTTCCAACAAAAAGGTCATCCTGAGAATGGGGGAAGCTCCGTATAGGGGCACATAAACAAACAAGAGGGTTTCTCGTGAAAGTTAAACATTTGTTGGATTACAGATGTAATAAAATGCTTTCACTTTAACGTTAACGACTGTCTCTCCCAGCTATCGAATTAGTAGGTGTCAGATAGAACAGCTCACCAGATAATCTGTAGAAAGTCATTCAATAATCTGATTGTACATATTCTAAAATTGTCGCTTTTAAATGCTACACCTCTGAATGAATGACCATATGTCGGACCTCTCGGCCCAAGAAGATGGTTTGGGAAAAACACGTACTCAGTTCTGTGCTTGGGCTTTGAGGAAATAGGCCTCGTAAGTTTTCAGTTCTTTAACGCTCAAATTCTCAATTTTCTTCTGGTCATGATTCAGCTAATTATCAATACAGTATTTTTCAACAAAATCCAAAATCCATTCCAAAAGTGTTTCCTTTCAAAAATTCGGGGTTTTGAAGTTTTAGGAAAAAAATGGAAATTAATTAATTAATATGTTCAGAACCGCTTCAGATATTTCACTGATATTTAGTACGTAGTGAATGTTAATAAATTTGAATATTTTTCAATGCAAAAATAATGTTTACCTTTAACAGTGGGGTGCGTACGGGTATTGACTTCGATATTTTTAAGAAAAAAATGGTACGCCAATGGTTTTTTGTCAAATAAAAATTATTTTTAAATTTCCCGTTATTTAAAATAAATAATCTCTCTTGAATTGTTTTCCTTCGATGCGCCATTTTTGAGTAAAAAAATAAAAACCGTTCTATTGTCCGAGAAAATTAATGTAATAATTGAAGAGTGCAATTCAGCAATAAATATCTAGTTGCTCTGGAATATGTCACTGGCTTTTGACATCTGACAAGTGTCTGTTATTCAGATCTGTTCACTGTGACATCTTGTTCATTATTTAGTTTTTACAATCTTGTTAATAATGGTGAATTATTCAAATGCAGAAATGGCGGAAATGCATCACGTATATGGCCTTACCGACGGTAACGGCGAGCAAGCCAGACGGATTTATCACCACAGATATACAGATATCCCGATCGTGCTTTGCCAGATAGTCGAACCTTTTCTGATACTCATCGTCCCCTTGTTGAAACTGGTTCTGTCTGAAAAGAAACATATTAAGGTTGACCTCTAAATGTGAGAACACCTGTGCTGCGCGAAGTCGAAGAACATCCTGAAACGAGTACGAGGAAGATCGCTAGACACTTAAATATTTGCCATCAAATCGTTTGGAGAATTTTAGTGGACTTTTTGTTATATCCTTAACATATTTTAAGAGAACAGCTATTACTTCCTATTGATTTTCCAAGGCGTGTGACATTTCGTCAGTGGTATCTTCAAAAAGTTACACAAAATCCGCAATTTGAATCAATGATTCTGTTCACGGACGAAGCTAATTTTTCTCGAAATGCCATTCAGAATTTCCACAATAATCATTTTTGGGCAGAAGAAAATCCCTATGCCGTAACCGAAACCCATTTCCAACACCAATTCTCGGTTAACGTATGGGCAGGAATTATTGGCAGCCACTTTATTGGCCCATTCTTCTTGCCGGGACGACTTGACGGACATACTTACCTTAATTTTCTTCAACAACAGTTGCCTTTGCTGCTTAATGACGTTCCCTTAGTAATAAGAAACAATATGTGGCACATGCATGATAGTGCACCAGCGCATTTCAGTGTAGCGGTTCGTACTTATTTACAAACTGTTTATCCAGATGGGTTGGATTGGCCGCGGTGGGCCCCAAGAATTGCCACCAAGGTCCCCAGACCTCAATAGTTTAGATTTCTTTTTGTGGGGCTATCTTAAGACACTAGTGTACACAACTCCCATTAGCAAGAGGAATTAAGAGAAGGAATAGTTGCAGCTTGTGATAGAATAAAAGGGATATTTTCAACAATTTTTGTAATAATTTCGTTGGTTTTGATGTCATGTTTATATTGGCAGTTGTTGCTGTTCATTACCCCTAATGTGTTTAATTTTTCCAATTAAATTAATAATAATTTTGCAAGTTAGACTATAGAACGGTTTTTATTTTTTTACTCAAAAATGGCGCATCGAAGAAAAACAATTCAAGAGAGATTATTTATTTTAAATTGAAGGGGGGAATTCAATGGTGATTTTTATTTGTCAAAAAACTATTGCCGTGCCATTTTTTTTTTTGGAAAATATCGAAGTCAATACCCGTACGCACTCCACTGTTAAAACTAAAAGTTATTTTTGCATTGAAAAATATGCAACTCTATTAACTACGTACCAAATATCAGTGAAATATCTGATGCGATTCTGAAAATATTAATTAATTTTTTCCTAAAACTTCAACCCCGAGTTTTTGTAAGGAAACATTTTTGGACCATAGTCTATAAAGGAAACTAACATTAATTTTTCATGTAGATTCACATCCTTAAATATTTGCAAATCATTAAGGAACACCCTGTATAACCCAAGTGTAAAATCAACCAATTAAGTAATTGACCTTAGTGCTCGCCGATCTTAACAAGCCTTCTCGACGTAAGATTGTAAATAGGTAAGTTACCTTACATCATTTCCTGAAATCCCTATCACCCGATAAATTGATATTCGTCTTGTTAACGGTTTCGGTTACTCAGCTTCAACCGCGCCAAATTCTCAATAACATGAACTATAAGTTATTGTCAAAAGATCCGCTCGAATTTCAGCTTCGTAATTAGAGAATTTCATCGTGACTGACTTAGCTAATTAAGTAATGCATTTGACTAGTTAGCTAATTCACGTTTCACTAATTAGGCAATAACAACCAACCTGTTTGTACACAATTTACTTTGAATTAACATAATCGAGTGAATTTGAGAGCCAGACTTACAAAAACGCCCGGTAGCATCTAGCGGACATTACTGTAAATAAATATACCTAAAAGTAACGCTCTGAGGCATGAGAAGTTTTGATTATATAATTTTTTGCGAATTCAGTTACTGGTATCTGTTCAATTACTGGTGCCACTACCCTACCTAAATTTCGTCTGTGCCCTGTTGAGACAGTGAGAAAATCCATATGAATTCATTACATATCCGATAAAACTTTCATCTTATTGAAACAAGCGTTATTTATATATTATTTGATTTCACTTTTCAACGATAGGCACCATCTAAGGAAATATATATGCTGCCTCCCTTTCACTATGATTCAAGTAAAATTATTTGAAACATTCAAAATGTATAGTTTTTTATTCGAACATCTTACAGTTTGGCATACTCTGTATACAATATAATCAATACCTACAATTTAAGATAAAGGCACTCAGCACGAGACAGTGAATTGCTTATACTCTAACGTTTCGGATCGAGAAGGCTTATATCTGGCGAGCCTTCACGACATGTTATAGTAACAAAAGTGCTATGTTAGCAGTGTAACATCCTATTTCTGGTTCTTGAGTTCCTCCTGGTACTTCTTGTTGTATGAGCCGCTTGGGTCGTATTTGGCTTCGAGTTCTTTGTACCAGTCAGCCTTGTGGTCGATCAAGTGGCGGATGATCTTCTTGCTGCCCTTCTTCTGGGTTTCAGAGCATTTAGAGCAGTCAGTTTGCAAGGCGTCGGGAAGTACCTCTGCAAAGACGAATATGAATAAATACACTGCGCTTCTTGGGCGACTATACAGGGTGTTCCAATATTCCATAGACGTCAAAGTACCACGTATCTTTATTCTCATGATTTAGCTCTATGCAAAAGAGCTTCGTTTGTCCGTTAGAGGGTGTCAAAGTTTTCTTTTTCACACATTTTTTAATATATATATATAATTTTAAAATATATAATTTTTTAATATATAACTGAGAATCCTATTTAGATTAGATAGAAATTAGAGCACATATGCTTTGCTAGACGTTCTAATATATAACTTTTACAAAAAAACTCTAAAGGGTTAAATTATAGCAGATTTTGTTGTAAATTTTTTCGACGGCACAGATTTTTTTTATTTGGCATATCTTTTTATCTACTTAGTTGGTTGGGGTTGGCTGTCACACTCGTATACCTTTGTTTTTAATGCTTCCCATACAAAAAAAAATCTCAAAGATCAAGATCCGGGGAACAAGTGGCCATTCAATAGGAGCTTCTTGACCTCTGCCAATCCATCTATCATCAAATTTATCATTCAAGTAACTTCTTACAGCACGCGCAAAGTGAGGTGGAGTACCAACATGCATAAAAAACATGTCTCTTCTTAAATTTCCGCCAATTAGATGCCTATAGATTCTAACACTACAGTATATTCAGATAAGAGATAGACCGGATGTAAACAAAAGGTTCGGGTGATTTTCACGCTAACGCCGCCGTCTCGACGTAAAACAGGAGCCCTCATTGGTCAATGTGTTAAGACAATACAAAAAAAATCACACCTTTTCTGAGCCAATGAAAAGTAAACATTGCAAAAGTATTGTTAAATCATTGGATGAAGCTGATAAGCATGCGATTAGGAGGAAAGTGCATGAATTCTTCTTTAGGAATGAAATACCTACTATAGATAAAGTACTGCAGGAGGTAAATGGAGATACAACGTTGCCAAATTTCAAACGATCAACTTTCCATGCGTTACTGAGGCATTTAAATTTCCAATGGAAAAAACGGGGTCGTAATAGTTTACTACTGGATAGAGAAGAAATTGTGCTATGGAGGAGGGATTATATAACAAAAATTGGGAAATATAGAAATCAAAACAGGAAGATTTATTACCTTGATGAAACGTGGGTAAACGCAGGACACACTACAAGTAAAGTATGGGTTGATGATTCTGTAACTTCATCCAGGAGGGCCTTTCTAGATGGACTGTCCACCGGATTAAAAAATCCAGCAGGTAAATACGAGTAATAGACAACAATCGGATGTTTTTCAAACCTTGGGAACAAGGTTCTAAACATTAATTCCAGGGGGCAGATAAAAGATATTACAAGTAACAAAACTTTTATAACTTTCGATAAAATGCGTGGATGTTTTATTGTCATTTTCAATTGTTAGAACTTTTTTAAGCCATGTTTTTATGTGTTTTCGATATTTCAATAATTTTTTAATATAATCTTAAAATATGTCGAATATTATAAACTTAAAAAAAGTTACTAAGTTTTATATTGTGTACCGTTCCTAAGATTTCTAATCATTTTAATTCATACTTTAAGCTTTATAAAGTTATAATTTGTTAATATTAATATTTGCGCGTATTTGAGGTTCCTGATCATTCATTTTTTAAAGGTTTATAACTTTAAATTAAATTGTGAAGCTCTGAGTAATCATACGTCGTTCAGTATTCTTTCTTTCAATATGACTAAATAATCCCAATTATAGCAATCTGATACTCATGTCTCAATGTTTTTTCGCTGAATGTGATGAAAAAATTTGAAAAAGGTTCGCTTATTGAAATAAATCTACACCAGTTAGTACTTCGATTTCCAGGTAAAGGGGAAAGGCTCATTATCTGCCATATTGGCAGTGTGAGGATGGATTTGTTGTTGACGGTCTGTGGTGCTTTGAGTCTAAGAAAACTGGAGATTACCACGAGGAAATGAATGGCGAATCGTTTGAACAGTGGTTTTCAAAAATTTTACCGAACTTAGAGGAAAACGCAGTAATTGTGTTGGATAATGCGCCTTATCATTCTCGAAGAATGGAGAAGGTCCCAACAACGGCTTCAGGGAAAGTTGATGTTCAAAATTGGCTCCGCTCGAAAAATATCAACTTTGAAGAAGCAATGCTGAAAGTACAATTATTAAGAATTGTCAAGGATCACAAGGCGGAATATCAAAAATACGCCATTGACGAAATGGCAGCAAGTCAAAATAAAACTGTGCTCCGTTTACCTCCATACGTTAAAAATTATATAGCTAAGCACAATACAACTTTTAAATTTTGTGACCTCAAAGGACTTTTCAAAGAAGCACTAGAATTAATAACAGCGCAAAAATGGGAAAACTGTATTAAGCACGTGAAAGACAAAGTTGAAAAGAGAATGTGGGAACTGGACAATATTTTAGAGGAACAAGTCGAGCCATTCATTATTGACGTTGGTGCTTCAGGCAGTAGCGATGATGAAAGCTCATCAAGCTCATCTTTCCAATAAAAGATGTCGTTCATCAAATTCGGTAAGTTATAAGTAATTATAAGGCTACTGTATTTTTTAATTTATTATTGACATTTTTGAACCCATTTTGGCAAAACCTATTCAAGAATCTACTTTCTGACAATGTTCAACCATGCACATTTTTTTACGTTTTGAACGTTTTAATTTGGTTACATATTTACCTAGAAATCAAAAAATGTACTAATCAATATTCTAAAAGCAATTTTAAGAGATATACGATTATTTTTAATTTAGGCTAATTTAAACGCCATTTTGAGATTATATTCGACTGTATTTCACCAAACATCAGGCGGCATCCGAAGCTGGAAATCGAAGCGAAAATTTTGAAACCCTTATGTATATTTACATCATTATATATTTCTTACCCCACCCCCACATGATCCTATATCCATCACCAATCGTATACACATCGAATTGTGCTAATTTACTACAAGGTTAAGCAAAGCAGCATCTACTATCTAAAATATGTACTGCGTGACTCTTAATACGTCCCTGCCGAATGTTACAGCGTTCGATGATCACGTGGTCTTGTTTATGTCCGGTCTATCTCTTATCTGAATATACTGTAGATGTGATAAACAAATTTTTAGAAACCGGATCCGAAAAGCATTTTTTCGAAAACTATGCAAAAGACAGGAAATCAAGTATCATAAAGGGATCTTTTGAATACAAAAAATCAGAGTCGTTGGGAGAGTTGCGAAAAAAATCTGCTATAATTTATTGGGGGATGGTTGTGGTTTTTGCCATTCTCGAACCCTTTCGGGGTTTTGTAGAGGTCAAATATATAAAAAAGTCTTTTGAAAAGAAAACTTTGACGCCCTCTAACGGACAAACGAACCATTTTTGCATAGAAGTAAACCATGTCCAACCTACTTAATTTGAGACTAATAATACGTGGTACTTCTATTTCCATGGAATAATGAGACACCCTGTATAAATGTATTTTGAAATAAAGCTTTACCAGTATCAAACATTAAAATATAAATCAATTGCGTAGATATGAGTCAAAGGTTCAACATCTTGACAAAATGAAATCTGACACACTACAAAATGTTTAGGATCTTCGAACAAAATTTTACCATACGCCGCAGATGCAAACTTTGAATAACTCTATGATTTTTTATAGTTATGTCTGTCAACTTGATTAAAAAAAAATAGGGTGTAGAGAGATGTTATAATTGTTTTTACTTGTCACGCTACTGTCGGGGATGTATTGTACGTATAATCACGAGAAATTTCGAAAAAGAGATATTATGATTTTTGAATGCAATATAACACCTATATCACAAAAAGCCATGACGCTCATTTTTGAGGGTTTGTCTGTCTGGCGGTCTGACTGTCAGTCCTGTCCGCTAATCCTTGGCCTGTCTATAACTTTGAAAGACGCGCTCCAATTTTGACGAAATTTCCACACAAGGTGACCATTATGCCAAAGATGAAAAAGCTTTATAGTTTTTGTAAATCCAGTGGCGGTGAAGCTCGGGGTAGAAAATTAAAAAAAAACAAAAATCGTCCAAATTCAGTTTTAGCATTCCAGAGGCTCCCAATCATTTTTGGAATGATATTTTGTTAAGGTCAAAAATTAGGGTGAAGGTGGTAAATTTTCTGGCTTTAGTTTATTTATATGCTTCCAGCTACAGTATTTTTATCACCTTCTAGCACACTGGGATAGACGCGTCGTACGTCTAGCCCAGTGGTTCATGTACCAAAGCCCTTTATTTGGGTTCTGTAGTTATATGATTCCAGGCATATTCATTTGTTGACCGGTTTGGAGCAGTCATCACATAAATATTATCTCTTTTTGTTATTCTTGTTGGTCGATACCTTAAGTAGATCAGGGTCCTTTTCGACTGATTTGATCCGTTTCATTTCTCTGATATACATGTTCGTAACTAAGTTCTTCTCAGAGGGTCTAGCTTATGTCAAACACAATCCCTTATGCACTGATGATGACGCTGCGTAAGGAAGTAGACCATTTTTTGTTATTTTCGGGTGTACATCCTACAATACAAATATTGCCACATTTTTTCAATCACCCTGTTTAGATTACATAAAAGAAACCTTTATTGCTACTCCATTGACAAGTATTGATAACTAAATACCTTGGCGCCTTGCCAACGTGTCTTAATTTGAAGAGGACTTATTTGCAAATACTCATGGTGCACTTGTTCTAGTAAGATATTGTTTTCTCTTATCGAAGTACCAACAATTGTTTTCTTGTACTATCGCTTATGTAAATTTTATATTCCACATTATAAATTATAAACTAGAAACCTGAAGCTCTCCTTCTTCTCATTAGAATCTTAATGGATATTTTCCGCAGACCATTTTTATATGTTTATGCACATTGTTTATTCAAGGTTAATCTGCGTAATTATCTGTCGCAATCTGAGGTCGAATTGACTAGAAAGAAATGTGGATATGAGTGTAATGTTTCCAATCAGTAAGCAGATTTTCCTCTATCAAACGACCATTGTTATGTCACAATGATATAAATTTAAATAATATGCACAATTATATTATACAGTGCTTTTCAGAAAGGCCCTACCTATTTTTTGAACGGGTCAAGTTAAGGAACTGGAATTCGAGATGATGAAATTGACGCATAAATACTATATTGTAATGTGAAAATAACAGTTGAACACATCAAGATGGCGGCTGAGAGCCATCTTATAACATGTTTCTAATAGAATGAGGGGGCCATGTGATACCTTATTTTGAAGATCTTTATGAGCTTTTCAAACTCCTGAAATATAAAATTATTATTATTTAAAACATCTAACTGGAAGACTGTTAAAATTTTTGTACACTAAATCGCTTGTAACTCAACAACTAATCATCAAACTGTTATAGTATGTATATCAATCTTCTTCTTCTGGAAGACTTGACTTATTCAAAAAATATGTATAAGGGTGTATATATATATATCCTTTAATTTCTTCGGGTAGAAGTATTGCAAAAGTACACTCTTATAACTTAAACTCTCAAGCTTTCGAAGATCTATGTCTTCATCGTCTGGAGCTGGAAACAATTATTTACAATAGCAACAACACTTAAGAGAAAAATGTTTGCTTACTAAGTCGGCGAGAATGTTGCTGAACTTGTTTTTAAACAACAGTGAAGGGAACACATAGTCGACGAATAAAAAACTGGACTGATGAGGTTCAATTAGGACCAGCTATTGTGAATAACTGTTTTCAGCTCCAGACGATGAAGACATAGATCATCGAAAGCTTGAGAGTTTAAGTTATAAGAGTGTACTTTTGCAATACTTTGTCTTCTACCCAAAGAAATGAAAGGATATTTTCTCCTAACAGTTAAGGCAATTAACTATGAATACTATATATATATATATATATATTGAAGTACTACTTTGCCTGTTATCACTAAGTTACGTAGGATGAAATGGAATTGTTACTTCGAGAAGGGCATACAAAAAAGTGTGCATCAAGATTCTGAACTTCAACTCTTATTTTTCAAAAATTAATTTCTGAGGCGGCATTTCAAAAAATACAAGCACAATGTTGCATCCTGTGATCACGACCTCTAAATGTAACACCAATTAAATTGGATACTACTCGTGAATTGCTAAGACAGGTTAAGTGAAGAAAACTATCATGTTTGGGACTTATACTGCAAGAAGAGGGTACTACGTTCGTCTATCAATTCTAAGCGCAAAGATAGAAGAGTCTAGAAGGTGCAGTCAAACAACAGACGACTAGCTATTGTAATCGCTAACATTGGGGACACACAGAAAGGAAAGGAAATCCTTGTGGAAATACTTTCAAATTACATATTACTGGATGCCTAATAATTTTATTGTTGTATAATCTTAAGATTTCCAGGCATTCCGATAAGCGTACCATTATGAGAAAAATGTATATTCTTAAATCCTTATTTTTTAAATTGACCGAAAAATACGAGGAAATAGCTTTGCAGAATAATAGTTGTAGCCTGCTTGTTACCAGGCTGAAGATCAAAGTTGTGTTCTAACGGTGAACTACAAAAAATATATTGAAACATTGAAGTAGTAAAAAAATAATCAGAAAAGCTAGATTCGGTAATTTTTTAATACATAGACTAGAAAACATTTACCGACTCATAGTAATTTTGTAGAATCTTTTTTTAGCAGAAAATGAAAATTATATGCATGATTGTCTCATGTTCTGTATGACCAATTTTTGGAAATGTTGCAGAAAAAATTAAAAATTCGTTGAACTATACGCAGACTTTGTTCGTGATTTACATAAAAGTGTTTAGTGAACAACGGTACAACTTTATGCGACCGGTTTCTGAAAATTAGGTTTACAATAGTTTTTCTTATCTATCGCTTTTTCTTTGATCAAATGACTAAAACCGCACACCATACTGGCGTTTCGGCCAAGTTGACATGTTTTTTAATAGTCCCTAAGGACTCAAAATTTAATCAACTTGCTATGTTCTGCCTGAAACGACTGTTATACCAATCAACAATATTAAAAGAGGTTCTGTGAGATAAACATTGACAGAAAGCCACTAAAGCTGGTAGGTACATCAGGGCCAGTGGGCCGATTCGTCGTGATATTTTTGGTGACAGTGAAATTTTGTCAGACTCTGTTATAAACATATGAATTGATTGAATAATTGTAATAATCGCAGGCTTCTTTGTTTTACCTATGTACCAACCGAATAAATGGATTAATGATTTCTGGAGATAACTAAAAAACGGGTGTTTATTTCTTCTTTCTAAGTCTGAGGGTAAATATAAGTGGAAATTTATGTATGAAATGTCAAACAGTTGCGTAGATTTAGTGGGGCTGGAGGCGCATAAATATATTAATGCCAAAAAATTTAGATAAACTTTCCAATTTTTTACCTGTCAATTTTTTGGGAAATGAATGAGGGTGGTGAGTGTTTTCTATTTCTTTTTATTCATTCATTTATTATCATATTTCCATTTTTTGTCCGTAGCTCGGCCGCGACATAGTTGCTATGTCATTTTAATTTTTTTTTTCGCGATTACTACACTTTACCACCAATTGGTGTGAGAAGTAAAAAATAGACGTAGTATCTAAAATCATAAAATTAAAATTATGTGTAACACATTCGGTAAACATATTGTGAGTAAACACTAATGTTTCGACAATATTTGCAATGCCATATCAGAGGATTGACGCCCTAGTTGCTACCTACTATCTCTACTACTAAAAGGATCGTGATTCTTGTTTTATTCTCAACAATGGCTTGATTCCATAGGTTCTCTTATCCCTGTTTTCCCACTGTCCTTTATGTATTTACAATACATATATATATATATATATATATATATATATAAAATATGTGCTCTATTAGTCCATGTTTAACCTCTGACTCAAAAACGAGGGGTAAATTTAACGGATGAACTGATTTGAGAGAATTTTTTTAATCTTTTGTTTAAACGGTTCTTCGATGTTGTTGAAAATAGGTTCAGCTGTTAAGCTGGGTGAGCAACCTAGAGTAAGCGAATGAGGTATCAGATGAAAGGGTTTGATTTTTAGATTACTAAATCCTCCTGTTACTCAAAATCAGTCAGTCTTTTGAAAGTAAAACCCATTTGTCTGTATGATTTTCAACCCCCGACGCAAAAACTCTCTGACGGCTGAACCGACTTGCGCGCACTTTTTTTAAGCAAAAGTCTTGTACAATTTTCCACTTTCTACTTCAAGAAGGTACTACGACTTTATCTGTATCGAGTATCTAATACTGGATACTGGTTTGTAAATAGAAAGAGATCCACCTGAAGGTCTTTTTTTTCTAGCAAATAACGTACTGCACATTTGTATCATTGAACTTTATCTCTAGATACCTCAAGATCACCATATCATAAACTCAATATTTCAGACACAGACTTACTTTTAAGCTCAGCACCATCTGGTGTGCACTTGCCCTTATCCAATAGGCAATTGACGTAATTCTTCAACAGCCTTTCGCTCTTAATGATCTCGTCCAAATCCACATTGTCGTATTTGGTGGTGTATTTATCGTCGGCGAGAACAGCGCCAAAAAAGGCAACAGCCAATAGCACGCACACTTTCATTTTCACGATCAGATTGCCTCAAAGGTACTCTGAATCTAGTCCTGCGAAGATTGTACTTTTATACTTTTACTAGCGCGATACCTACATACGCGAACGAGTGGGAGGCGATTAAGAGTTGCTACCTTTTTTATGCTCTTTTCTTGGCGAACAGTCACTGTAATAATTATCAATGATCTGCATAAAATAATTCCTTTGTTATTCTGGATTCAAACCAATGAGAAATTCAGTTTTTATTAATACGGTTTACAGGGTGATAATGTGTGCTTAAGCTTTTTCTAAGAGTCAAGGATAGTTTCTATTGTTTTTGGTCAATCGGAAGGCTATGTAAGCGTCGAATTATATAAAAATGTATATTCACCATAACTTAAACTGGTATTATTGCAAATTGCAATTGATTTTTATGATAACATTTTTTAGACAAAGTTTAAAATACAACATGTCAAATCACTTGCAAAGAGATTAGTGGTAAAAAATTTGTCCATAAGCTTCCAATATCATATGATAACCTAAATAGCAAAAGCATTGTTTTTTCTCAATTAGTTGCAGCTAACATGACTAGGTTAGTTTAGGTTAGGTTTCTTGTGAGTGCATCAATAACGATCCTCCACTTCGACTCTTTGGTCTATTGTGGCTCACACCTATTTATATTTCCCCCAGTAGCTCTGACCTCCTGAGGAAGTCGATCAACTTGTTTGGAGAAATATCCTTCAGGTCTTCTGCTTGCAGTACTACGTCCCCAAATATGTTGTACCTGATTCTGGCAATTGCACGGCATCTGCATAACTATACTGGACTTCAAACAATGTAGGTAATAAGCTCCAAAAACACAATAAATGCTGGAAACAAGATAACTGTAGATTGACTCTATACTTCCTACTCCGTCGTTGGAGGTTTCGAAGAAAAGGGATGAGTCAAATCGTTACAAAAGGCGAAATTGTATTGTGATTAGGTAGGTTCACTAAGATACAGGGTGGCGCATCGAAAACGAAACAGACCCATTTACTGACAGCTCAGTTTTTTTTGGAAAAACGCTCAGACTCGTCGATTTTATTTTCAAGGGGGACACAAGTTTGGCAAAAAATCACGTTAGCACGTGCAGCCACCTAAGCGGGGGTGCCACCACCCCTAAAATCTTAAATGGAAAGAGGGTCGAGTGATACCTTATTTTAAAGGTCTTTCAGTTCCCTTTATAACGATATAAAATTAATGATTAATTGATTTAAAGCTTAAATAAAACTAATACATCATCATTAGTGGAGATCAATACATTTGGCGGCAAGTAATTTAAAAATGAAGAATGAAATGATCCGTTAGGCAAGTAAATGTTGAAAATGGCCACCATGACTCTCCCTGTAAGAATACAGATTTTGCTCAAAACGTTTCCGCACATTTTGCAATATATGAGGAGTAATTTGAAGGCACTCATTCACAATTCTTTGTCGCAGGTCTTCTAATGATGTTGGCTGAGTAGCATAGATTTTGCTTTTTAAATGACCCCACATAAAGAAATCCAAAGGTGATAAATCTGGCGATCTTGGGGGCCATTCAATGGCACCTCTTCAACCAATCCATCGATCTGGAAACGTCTGATCTAAATATTGTCGAACACGTAATGCGTAATGTGGAACATCAACCTATTCGCAATGTACCGCCGATCATTCTGATTTTCAATTATGGCTGTTAATGCAGGATCTATGGCGTCTTCCAGTAATTCCAAATACATTCCACCGGTCAAATTTCCAGGTAAGAAAAAATAACCAACTAAATGATCGCCAAAAATACCAGCCCAAACATTTAATTTTTGTGGCTGCTGTGTATGAACCTCATGATAAATTCTGGGATTAGAATCGGACCAATATCGACGATTTACTACGTCATTTAAGAAAAAGGAACATTCGTCGGAAAAGCAAGTGTTGAATAGAAAATGTTCATCGTTTGTAATTCGTTCACTCATATCTTCACAAAATTGTAATCGCCGATCAAAATCGTCTTCATTAAGTTCTTGTACCAGGTGAATTTTATAGGGATGAAAACTATGGGCCTTTAGAATCCGTTGGACAGTACGTCGACTAACACCACACACAGTCTCCAATGTCCGGGTACTTAACGTAGGATCTACATAAACTTGCCCGAAAACCCCCACTTCTTTTGCTTCGTTGCTTATGGGATTTTCAATGTTGCGTTTTTTGTTGGCGACTGATCCAGTTTCCCGAAATTTAGCTACAAGTTCTAGAACATATTTTCGATGCACGTTACTGTTCTCATGTCGCTCATTAAATATTTCTGCTGTTCTATTAGCGCACTGATTATTTCCGAAAAATATTTCGATAATTTCTGCTCTTTCTGCTGTGGAATATACCATGGTTAATTTATGTAATAAAGCGTTACAAGTTATTTTAGCAACAAAGTTTGGTCAAATCAATCGCAAACTCTGTACTAAATTCCTATTTAAAATAAGTACGATATATTTCCTTATCTTTCTTCAAGAAATAACCTTTTTGTCACAAAAAAACCCTCCAAATAGCTATTTTCAACAACAAAATGATAAACAAACCATGGGCGTAGTGAAGAAGAGCATTTACTTATTAAGTAAATTATTTTAGTCAAATTTCTTCTGAAAGTAGTACAAACTAATCTGATGTACCTATTAAAGTCTACTTTAAGCTTTAAATCAATAAATTTTCAAAACTACTGAACTGAAGCTCATGCTTTTTACATCATTATAAAGGGAATTGAAAGACCTTTAAAATAAGGTATCACTCGACCCCCCTTTCCATTCAAGATTTTAGGGTTGGTATCACCCCCGACCAGGGGGCTGCACCTGTTAACGTGATTTTTTGCCAAACTTGTATCCCCCTCAAAAACATCGACGGGTCTGAGCGTTTTTCCAAAAAAAAAAACTGAGCTGCCAGTAAATGCGTCTGTTTCGTTTTCGATGCGCCACCTTGTATATCTAAATCCATGGCACATGTAGGAAAAACATGTGTGACTTATTATATCTAACAGGCCAATAATATCACTGGGAACAGCAGCTTCTTAATAAAAGAATGTCTTTCACTGGCACCAAATATGCAACAATTTACAACAATTTGCCGCATACAGCTTCATACCTACAATATTCATCCCTCCAAACAATGTCTGAGAATGAGCAGGAATCCCTGAAACGTTGTAGCACTATGTTCCAGCGATTTTATGTCCGCCGCCTCTGAATAAATTTTCAAAACGACGACTGCCTAAACGATGGAAGTGTTACACTCGCGATAATATTCCAACACTTCGATTCTCAAGTATTTTGTTACTTAAAAATATCTGCATCACAGAATCCGTGTCGCAGAACACTAAAAAAGTGCGTAACTCCTAATATCCAAATATTACAATAACATATATAAATACTTCTCCTGTAGCGGCGTGTCAGTGATGACACCACCACAGACCAGTTGGAGTTTGTTAACCATACAGAGATAACAGTGGCCTCCATGTCGATGCAGCGTCGCGCCATGCACGCAACACCAGCGATTGTCGTTATTTCGAATTGGATATACATCGGACATTTAATGTTTCCGCTGTTACCGCGATCAGAACGTCTTTGACTAATACTAGAGACGTTAAATTTGCAACCCCCTACCCCCTGCAATCCCCATAAAATATTTCCGAAACTGATCAAGCCGTCAATAAACGAATTTTAAGCGATTTCTATTTTCTTCGTGTTTTTGTCCCTAGCTCCGCCACCACTGGTCCGTTTTTCGAAAACTACAAAGATTTTCATCCTTGGCATATCAGTAACCTTGGAAATTTCATCAAAATCCGAGCGGTACTTCTCAAGTTATAGGCGGTGATAAAGTTAGCGGACAAATCAACAGACCAACAGACAGGCAGACAGACCGATGGGAATGAGTATCATGGCATTTCGTGACGTACATGTCATATAACATCCAAAAAAACATAATATCTGCATTTCGATTTTTTTCGCGATTGCAATACTTCCTCTCCAGTTTTGGCATAGGAAATAATATCCCGGACACAAAAATGTTAAGCGAGAGTTAATGTTTTAAAGTCATTTCAGCTTACTCGATGTAATAAATAAATTTCCTTCAATCTCGGATGTATACTAAGTGACATATAAATCCGAACACCCAGTTTAAATGGTTTTATTTTAATAAAAGTTGGTGAATGTATTTATCTTACTGTAAATAACAAGTGAAAAAATGTTCAGCCTTATCAGTTGGACATTCCGGTTTTTATACTGCTTTTTTTAATTCACTAACGCTCTAAAAATGAATATTTCAGCCGCAGTAAAGAATCAACGTTGGCAGATTTTGGTTCTTGACATCCTTTACGATCGGTTACGATGCCTAGAGTACGGAGACCTGTACGATTTCGTCAACTTAGTGAGTTTGATAGGGGCCGTATAGTGGGACTTCGGGAAGCTGGACTTTCTTTTCGGGCAATTGCAGTTAGAATGTAAAGAAGTGTAGACACTGTGGTTAGGTGTTGTCAGGCATGGCTTCGAGAAGGCCGTACGCAAAGAGCAAGGGGCACTGGACGCCGCCGTAGAACAACAGACCGTGAAGATCGCCGCCTAAGATTATTGGCCTTAAGGGACCATTTCTCCACTACCAGGTCCATTGCAAATGAATGGTTTGCAGAACACGGAAGACCTATTGGCATGCGAAGTGTTTACCGACGAATGAGAAGTTTTGGCTTGTTTTCATACCGGCCACACTGGGTTCTCCCTTTAACTCGAAAACACCGACGTAATCGCCTTGAGTGGTGCAGACAACGGTCACTCTGGGATCAGGAATGGAACAGTATTGTCTTTAGTGACGAGTCTCAATTTTGTTTAGTCATGCACGATGGTCGTGCCAGGGTTAGAAGGCGACGTGGTGAAAGGAGGAATCTACAGTTTTTTGTTGAAAGACATGTGCATCACACTGTTGGAGTTATGGTTTGGGGTGCTATAGCTTATGGTTCCAGGTCACCTTTAATCTTCATCAGAGGTAACATGAACGCGCAGCGTTATATCCACGAAGTTCTAGAACCCCATCTTTTACCCTATCTTGACACCCTGGCAGATCCAACTTTCCAACAACATAATGCCCGACCACATGTTGCAAGAGTCACAATAGACTTCTTTCAACATAATGATGTCATATTGTTACCATAGCCACCAAGATCTCCCGACTTATCCCCAATTGAGCACGTGTGGGATATGATGGATAGGAGATTGCTCAATTTGCAACGTCCTCCTCAGACTCTAGAAGCACTTCGAGAGGAGTTGGTGGTTGCCTAGAATGAGGTACCACAGAAGGACATTGACCACCTGATTAGAAGCATGCCTAGGCGCGTTGGAGAATGCGTAGCACATCAGGGTGCATCCACACATTATTAAAGGTCAAAGGGCTTTAAAGCAGTGCAATCATTTTGAAATTTTTATCATTTACTTATTATGCTTCATTAAGTACTTATACAAAATTATATTAAAATAAAACCATTTAAACTGGGTGTTCGGATTTATATGTCACTTAGTATATTTCGTAATAACATACTTGGGAGTAAATTGTCCGCTATACTATTAATATAATTGTCAAGTTGATTGAGTTTTCAATTTCAAGGAAATATATGAAACGTTGAAAGTTCAAAGCACCTAAAATTTGCATAGTAACTACTTTCATATTTTGAAAAACGTTAGACATTCAAAATTGGAGCTATGGGTTTTCCGAAAACTGGGGAATTCTCCAGCCCCGAAGCCAATTTTTGTTGGGCCTATAAATTATGAGAACTTGGGAAAATACTAAAACGGAGCTTTGGGATGTTAATATTTTCCCGAAACATATATTTTAAATAATGTAGTTTTATCCGTCTGGCATATCACGCCAATGAGTAAAAAATCCAGACTTACTAGTGGAAATGCACGCGGATTGAATCTTTGTTACGGATGAACTTTGTTAACGCATCATCGAAAGCCGCCATGATATCCCACATGTTTTTAAGAATGTCCGTCAAGAATTTGAACATCGCCTATATCATTATTTGGCTAATAAGATTTTGAACACTTATTGAAATCAGAAGTTATATTTTCGTGTGTTTTTTTTTCTATCTGAACAGATTAAGATAAATAAAGATTTTCCCCATTTTCTCCAAAAATCAAACGTCAAAATAAAGGTCTTCGAAAGACCTTAGCTATTACTCGATCCCCCTTGTCACTTAAAATTTTTAAATGAATGACCCTGGGAGGCCGAGGGTGAAAGGAGGAAAAGTGGTTTTTGGTTAAAAAGTTGACAAATCTTTTGTCGTGTCTCGGCGTTTTTTCTTTTGATCAGTGATTGTCCATAAATCCGTGGTGGGAAGTTTTCAAATGAACACCCTGTATATGCTACTGTAAGTGTCATTAAAAACATACCATTATGTGGTTTTGACTTAGCCCAATATATCAATAAGTGAAATTCGGTAATTTCTGTTATTCACTTGACAGGGTGGTCTCCGGCACAATATGGCAGTTGAGAGGCAGAACGGCACATGCGCCGCATGGGTACTGTTCTTTTACTCAGCCGTAAATTAAACACCGAACGTACGAGGCTCGTCGTGGTACCATTCTTTCACTATGATGAGTCTTTGAGCTTCACACAATTTGGCCATCTCAGGTGAAATTGCCATTTTTGGCACTTGTATTGTTCTTTCACTCACCGATTCAATTGCAAAAACTGTTCAAGGTGGTACGGTAACAGTATCTAACTGACTGAATTTGCATCATCAGTCAATGAGTATAGTATCTTCTAAAAGAGATATAAATAGACCTGAATTTAGTAATATAGACATGAAAGGTTTAAAAGAACCTATATAATAAGTAGATCAACACAAAATGGAATAATCATGTTAATTGCCTTTTGATTCAAGTTAATAAACTTTTATCAGCTCCAAGAAAGCTAATCCGGAAAGACAATTTTGCTTATTTATAAATCGTTAGCCGAGTCTCTATTATGTTATGTTATTATTTTTGGCAGTTGTATACAAAAATTCATTTCAAACATTGAATGTTACAAACATTTATTTTAAAAACTGTATACAAAGAATGTAAGCTCTACCACACTAATTTATTATACACAAAAGATGTCTCTCACCAGCAATCAATTAATATCCAAATTGTTTGTATGGGTTTAAAAATAAACTTAACCTCAGTTATGTTACCTATATATGGCAGTAGATTTATTGAACTTATAAGAACGCCAAATACAATACCAATTTGAATTATACTTTACCGAAAATTAATCATATATCACCGAATGAAATGAGGAATACCACTATCACCTAGAAATTTGCAAAATCCATAAAGCATTTTTGATATGGAGAATTAATCAAAATAGCCTAGTGTTCGATAGCCAGGAATCAAATTTTCATTGATTTGTATCGAGTACGTATATTGATATTTTGTTAATTTACATGTATTCAACGTTATATTATGAAAAATATATTTTTTTGATAATAAAAACTCAACTCAAGCGTTAACTCACTTAATTGCTTCTATAGCTTAACTAGACTTGTTTTGAATGTTATACTAAACATACACTATTGAGATATTTATTACAGGATGTAAGTGCTGCTTGGTTCTTTTGTGAATAAATAAATAAATAAGACATCACACCAAACCTTTTTAACATACATTAGTAACTTTTAATCAATTATATGAATTGAACTCCCTGTATAGGTTAACCTTGACGTATACCATCGGTCATCAATGCACTTTCGCAACTTGTATGTTTATATCAGGAAATATAATCACTTCTCAATGTTACCATCAATATTCTTAGTTTTTTGAAACCGTAATAAGATGAACCTAATCTGAACTATCGGTATGGTATGATCGTGTCTCACAAAAAACATGTCTACCGCCATACAGGTGTCTGAGTTTATTAGTAATCTATCAGCCGGTAGATTGATTTAATAATGGACCGCTAACATTTAGCAAAACGTTTTTACGGATGCTGGAAATAAATTGTTTTTGACTTCCGTTTTTTGTTTATAAAGTGAATTAATTGTACAGGACGAGATTGTATGGAGTTTCTAAAGCATAACCTCCATACGTAATTTTTGAGCATTGTGTAGTGGAATTTTATCAATTTCTAGAAAAAATAAAATTTTATACGAATTTCGAAAGATCTTATACTTGAAAATCGGTTATACCCTAGATCGTATAAGATGAAATCATTTTTCGTGCGTCATCCTGTATGCATGTGAATATTGCATACATTATGAACACCAAAAATTAGCCAATCATATCATTTTGTAATAAATTAATTCTCTAATTATCCACTTTTTCATACAGTTCACCCATATCATTATGTTGAGGCAAATATCGCTGTAGTATCTCATAGCGTCGTAGCACATATTCACTACTTGTGTGAGTTGCAGGTCATACTTCATAATTTGCGTGTTTTCAGTTTATCTACTACGGTATCATCTACAATCACTGCTTTTCCATTTTACTTTATTTTTATTCCAATACGGAGTGAACTGCAATTAAAAAACATTAAATAGTTTGAATACGTGGCAAAAAATGAGGTTATGTAAGTTGACTTTGCATTTCCCATGCCACGCTGTTAGTTAGAGGGTAGGTAGAATATGTTGATCAATACTTCAAGCTCTGAGAAAAAAGTAGTCTTTGAACAATAACAAAATTAAATTGATTAAGAGCCCACAAGGGGGTGGTGAAGAGCCTAAAAGAAATTTTGGGACGATGCATGGATTTGGAGAGCACTGATGCAGCAGACGATGCCCCCCTCCGCTCTTCAATTTTAAATTGCCGATAACACCTCTCGCTCTTCGAGATTGTGGAAATGCCATGAGTACATTCGTTCTCACGAGCACTGATGCAGCAGATAACCTTAAAAAGCCCCCTACCCGATTTGAACATCTTGAACAATTCAGAGGGGGGGGGGGGGCGCTATAAAGTGAAGTAGACGAAATAAGTTTCAGAACTGGGTGCAACAAAAATAACGAACTGGCTCTGAATTTCTCCGGACAAGATATTTTTGAAAAAATCTAAGCCTCTACATGCAAACTTTGAACAAGCAGCTCAATTGTGACATTGTATTTGACTTTGAGTCACACCTTCAAGGTTATTTCAAGGTCAACTACAGTTTTTCAAATGTAAATACCGCTTATTTATTTATACTGAAATCCTAGTTACTAAAAGGCTGACCTGGAATTTTTCCGTCAACATTCCTGCTAATCCTCTAGAGGGTATTTACCTTCATTTGACCTTTAGAAGTGACCTTAATTACGTGATGAAACGAACTTACCTGTAAGTGATGTTCGATCTTAATTATGTGAAGTCCTCGTCGAAGTAAATATTTAGAATACATATCGTAGTACCCTCGTAGTAGTACCCAACCGCCACGATTTCAAAGCGCGCGCGGAGAGAAGGAAACCGGCACCGCACCCCTTCCCTCTACCTTGCTCCTCTCTGGCCGCCTATAATCCTCCATTTACTACAAAGCCAAGTTGTTGCAACAATTGGGTGATACATAGGGAGAAAAGGAGCTATTTACTTCGACGAGGACTTCACATAATTAAGATCGAACATCACCTACAGGTAAGTTCGTTTGGTCATGTAATTATGTTCCGTCCTCGTCGAAGTAAATATTTAGAATTCATATCGTAGATGTTCAAAGCTACTACTAACGCTCTGCAATATTAAACCATAGGTTTTAGACAACTACACAAATTGTTCGCAATGTATGTGCCAACTAAATGTACATTTCCATTGTAACAATTCAAGTTAAGGCTTTTAGCAACAGGTAATATGACGTACCTGGTTCAAAAAATACCTTCCATTTCATGGGAATGAGCAAAAATAACATAGTTATGTTTAAGGTGTGGAGACTTAGTTCACCTCAAATGCCACTTGAGCAAAGCAATTGTTGGACATAAGAGATTTGTGACGTATCTCCCATTTCATGTACTGTGGGTTGTCATCCCATTTCATGTACTGTGGGTTGTCAATTGTTACACTCTCTGCTAAAACCGACTTCAACCATCTTTGAGTCGAGGCACCATGATAAAGTTACTGTACAGTTACAAATAAATGCTTTGCGCAGATATTTGGGCGTAAAATACGGTAAAACTTAAGTGACCTGAGGTTAGAGCTAGCAGTGTTGCTGATTTCCTGATCCAAATATCTACAGAGCTTACTAGCAACCCCTTTGGCTGATTGAGAACAACTACAGTATCTATATTTCAGTTGAGATGGCCTCAGCCTGTAAATGCCCTTCAAAAAACATCTTATGTCTGCATCGTTAGTAACATTTTGGGTAAAATACTGATAGCGCAAACAATTATACCTTGATCTCTTATCACCTATAAGGTAGGAAGTTTCAAGGTAGGAAACCAGACATGTATTTCTCCCTGACAAAGGTCCTGCCGTAATCTAAGCCAACCAGCAGAAATACGTATCGCTCGGGTTACCTATCCTATTTTCTGCTCGAATCCACTTTTTGCGGATTTTGTCCATTATTTTCCTATTTTTTTTATATACCTTTCTCCGCATGATAATTTTCTCTTTGTAGATCCTTTGGGCTTGAAGTACCACGGCAAGTGGCTATAACCGGCCGCGTGGTTGTGGTTATTTGTCGCCTTGAAAATTCGAGGTCTTCTAGCCATTTTATACTACAATGTGTAGGTTGGCTCTTGTTGTGGACTTCGTGTGTCTTTTTTTTCCTCTCCAACTTTGTTTCCTCAGGTTACACCCGTATCCGGATGTATGGGCATGTGTCTCTACTTTTGTAGTTGCATATGTGCATGTATTTCGGGCCTGATGAAGCCAACCAGCAGAAATACGTATCGCTCGGGTTACCTATCCTATTTTCTGCTCGAATCCACTTTTTGCGGATTTTGTCCATTATTTTCCTATTTTTGTTATATATATACAGGGTGACTTCGAAGTTGAGTCATTTATTTTAACAGTGAGTAGATCTGATCAAAAGAAATGTTTTTTTCCTTTACCATTTTTCTGGTAAAATTAAAGTAACAAAGTTATAGCCCTTTGGAAGTTTGAGTACCGCCCTGTCTCAATAATATCATGTACTCGTGTTTGGCAACAACGGATATAATCCACCTTATCGGTTCATCGCATCGGAAACAAAAAAGCCAAAGAATTTGGAACGATGTTTATTTTATTCAGTTCAGTTATACATACAGTCAATGTCAGTCGCGTGTGAATAGTGTCTGTTGCGTGGCTCAAAGGAAATAAAAAATGGCACATGTTTATGCGGATCGGTTTCCCAATCGAGTGCAACCAACCCCTCGTGCCTTTGTTAATGTAGTACAACGGGCTCGTGAATCAGGTGACTTCAGACCTCACAGGGGACCTCACGATCAAATACAGGTCCGCACTGAAATACTTGTCGGGAGGATACTTTATAAAACAAGGTAAAAATTTTTTTTTATTTTTTTTTATTTTTACACACATATTTTGGTTTATCTTCCTTCTACAATCATTATCTGAAAATTAATGACTCAACTTCAAAGTCACCCTGTATATGTATATGAGCAGTAGTCATTGCCAAAGCCAAAGACCAGTTGTGTACAAAATACAATTTCTTGTTAATTGGGAAATTGGCAAAACTTTTAGGCTTAAGTTGACTATTTGACGATAAAAA